CCCCCCTCCAATTTGCTGACTTGTTGTTGTGTCAAAGTGCTTATTCCTGTGACTTTTTGAGCCCAAAAACAGAAAATAATTTTAAATTGTCTGAATAAATACTCCTGAGTAACTGTCTTGTTTGTCATCACATGATCTAGAGAACTCTACTAGTGTGGTATGGAGTCAACTAATTACAGAGAAATGTGGATTTGTAATACCCTTTTTACCCATGAGGTTTGTATTAAAACAGACATACGTACAACACGTTAACTGATGGATCTGTACTTGGCACCTGGTGTAACTAACGTCAACAGGTGCCAAACTGAACAGGATTTCAATTAAGGTAAATAGGGAACTACATCTTCCAAATTCAAACTAAATTGGCCAGATAAAATTTGAGTTATAGTTCATAATTTGTCAGCCAATCAAATCTCTTAATGGGCACCTGGAATATTTTTAATAGGTTTTTAAATCATCAACATTTGTTTAGGGTTATGAGAGAAACCTACCTCATCTTATATAATTACATAATAGAGTATATATCTGGTGTCTTCAAACAGTTCTGAAGTAAACAAAAATACAACCTACTTTTTTACTGTGATACTGAGTGTACTAAACTGTGTTATTTACAAAAAATGTTTGTTCTTTGAAAGTGATCTAGTTTTCTATTGTTTCTAATTATGAGGAAATATAACAAAATGTCCACTACTAAGCACCTTCTGTATATCACACACCACTACAAACTATTCTACTGATTAAACTTTGTGTCAACCTCGCAACAAGTCAGTACTGATCCTCTGTTTATAAACAAATGTGGGTGGTCATCAGTTCTTTTCGTATCGGTCATTAGTTCCTTGGTATGGGTCTTCATTTCTCAGATATGTGTTCCCACTCTTTATTGCGTAATTCCACTCGTCGTATTTTTCCACTCACAGTTTTTGGAAGTTGGTCCACAAATTCAATCTGTACAATACAATAATTACAATAAAATGTTATTCAATACAAAGTTATACAATACAATGTAGTGCAATGTTATAAAATACAAGTTTTATACAATACATTGATAAAATAAAATACATACTTTGTTATGCAATATGGCATCTGAACCACTAATGGTTTCAGCATGTTCTTTTGGATTGAAATAAAAGCTGTTTCAAGGTAAAGGTTAGCAAAATTGCAAACTTTCATGTGGTTCTAAGTTTTTACTCTTTATGCAAAATAATTGAGTCAGTAAAAATATCTTTCATTTTTGAGATCTAATATTACAAACATGCAAATGTGAAATCAATCTTTCAAACAACAATCAAGATTTGATATAAGTGTACATACCTTCCTCGGGTATTTGTATGGAGCGGTCACTGCTTTGACATGTTCCTGGAGTTCCACGATCAGCTTGTTCCGGTCAGCTGATTGGTACTCACTGGTCAGTGTGACGAAAGCCTTCACCACCTGTTTTGATTAAAATGTACAGTAATCAACACTATGTAACACAAACCAACAACATAGTATATGTGTTGTAATATAAACCAACAACCTAGTATATGTGTTGTAATATAAACCAACAACATAGTAAATGTGTTGTAACACAAACCAACAACATAGTATATGTGCTGTAACACAAACCAACAACATAATATATGTGTTGTAATATAAACCAACAACATAGTATATGTGTTGTAACACAAACCAACAACATAGAATATGTGTTGTAACACAAACCAACAACATAGTATATGTGTTGTAATATAAACCAACAAC